AAGAACGCCTGGCAACGGAAAGTTGGCACTTCCTATTGGGAGTGTTGCTTCACGCTGCAAGAAATGCTGAGTCGGCTTGCCGACTTGTGGTGGCGCGATGCATTGCTGTGAGGGTAAACTTAGTTTCCATAATTGTCTTCCCTTCAGTTTTAGTCTTGTGTCCAAATAAATCACAGCTTGCTCCTGTCTTGATCACAAAAATGCGTGCATCGACGAGGTGTCTGAAATATTTGATTGACTCGTATATGACAAGTAGCTCTCGGTCGTACGTGGTGTAATTTCTCTCAGTGTTGCTGAGCTTCTTGGAGAAAAATCCTAGAGGTTGCCAGTCATGCGTTGTTCCAGAACTGCTCCGTTTGCGAGGTCCGATGCGTTACCAACCAGTTGTAGGTCAGATTTCGGTGCAGGAAAGTATAGGAGCGCTGAGTCTGCAATGCTCTGCTTGTAATTCTCGAGGGCTGATATGAGTTCTGTAGGCCAGAGAATTTGTCATTGGTCATTGGTCATTGGTCATTGTCATTGGTCTTCTTTCCATTCCTTAGCAGCTCGGACAGCGGTGCCTGAGTGTGCGAATATCGGGGTAGGCATAGGCGATAGAAGTTTATAACGCCCAAGAAACGGCCTAGTTGGCTGATAGTTTCAGGACGAGCATAATTGACGATGGCATCGATGCGAAACGACGGTGGTTTGATGCCGTGTTCGTTAATCGTGTAGCTGAGAAAATGAACTTGCGTTTGCGCTTATTGACATTTGCTCAGATTGATGCTTAGCACGTGTTTCTGCAGCACTGATAACACTGCTCGAAGATGTTCTTCGTGTTCCGCAATCGATTTCGAAGTTATCAGTATATCGTCTATGTAGCAATATACAAAGTCCATGCCACACTAATATTGTCCATAAAACGCATTTAACCCGAAATGCATGTACTGGAATTCTATGTCCAAAAGGAGTGCACACGGCCGTCTTCTGAATTTATTTTTCTGCCACGGGAATTTGGTAGCCTTTACCAAATCAAGAGTTTCCTGCCATGTAGCTGTTCGGTGAAGTCGTGAATGTGTGCCATTGGTGACCATGTGGAGTTGGCTGGACCAAGGACTTTTGGAGGGACGACATATGCCTTGCTCGATCAGAAAGTTGATTTCCTTTTTCGCAGTGGCAAGTTTACCTCCAGATTAGCGTCGAGGTCTGTCAGAAACGAGTGTCCTGTTGCTGTGTATACTTCGATGACGGTTTGGTGACTTCCACAAACTCTTGCATAAGCTCTCGAAATTTTGAAATACCCTGCACAGTGGAAACGGATGTTGGATTCGCCTGTGCTAGGCACGCACAGTAAGGCATATGGTTTTGAGATCAAAAAGAAGCTGGAATTCGGCTAAAAAGTATGTTCCAATTATAGGTTTGTGTACGTCCGCAATGATGAATGGTCAGGTGAAATTGCGTCTGATATCCAAGTCCAGTTTAGTTATATATCTATAATAGGTGTGAATGATGGTTTGGTTTGCTGCGTATAGCGTCAGATCGGCTTGCGTGGTTTTCTGTTATCCAGCGTGCGAGGTACAACTGAAACCACAGATCCAGAATCGATGAGTTATCTGATGTTGGAGGTACGATCGGTGAGGTGCAAGCGCTGCTCCCGTGGAACAGCTGACTGAACTGATGGATCGCTGATGCTGTCCTGGCTGCCGCTGACCAGCGCGTCAGGCAGCTGCACCTCTAGTTTAACGACGTAGAGCGTGTGCAGGGTTGTCGGCATTTATTTGCGTTGTCACCAAAGCGCTTGTGGTAGAAACAAAGATTTTCCTGTGCTCTGGAAGTCTGTTGACCGGCATTGTCCGCTGGTCTGGCGCCACAAGATGAACAGCGTGATCTGTTGCGTGATTGGTTGCGCTTGACATCCTTTTTCAATGCCGTGACATCTTGCATGAGCGAACGTAAGTTGTCGGAAAGTTCTTTCAAAGGATCTGCAGGGGAAACTGCACAGAAAGCCGGATTTGCAGGAGGAACAAAAGTTGGTGATGTGCCGATGGCAAACGAGACGTTCGTGTTTACGGCTTCGACCTTTTTGTCTGCGATCTTCGCAAGCTTGTCCAAGTCCGTCTCATCCCATACGGGGCGCAGCGGACTCAGCGAGGAATAGGGTGTAAATGATGCTTTCGCTGCCTGGATCCGGTGCCAAGCGTCGCATATTTGCCAAGATTTCCGAAGGCTTTAATCCGGTGGCACCTCCTCCTTGAAGTAACCGTCGCAGTTTTGATTCCAGTTTTTTTTTATATTGTTGAGAATGAAATAAAAAGTGTGTATATGCATGTATACATATGATGCTTATGATTTTTTTTTATGTATGGCCATACTATGAATTATTAATAGAAAATCTTCAATCTATCTTTATGCACTTTTTGTTTTTTATTTGTATTATTTAATAGTATTATATTTTCATTGTTTTCTACGCTTTCTACTTTATACGGTTCCGTTTATTTGAAATCTGAGCAGTTTCGTTGATCTCTTTGATTTCCTATTTTTAGTTAAAAATCTTAAATTTTCATATATGTAATATATAATATAATATTTAATAGCTTGTTTTTCATATATAATTTTCATACATTTCCTTATCTTTTATTTTATTATCTTCATATCATAATTCTAGCTCTTTTATATGCTACTTCTAACCTATACTTTGATTCTCTGGCGCAGTCGTCCATATTGACTAAAATGTCAAGAATGGCACCATTTGCTGGGTGCCCTTCAACAAACAAACTGCCGAAGAACATAATGTCTAACACGTTAAACTCGACAACATTCTGAAGCCCTGTTGTATTAAGAGCCAGTCACATAGCTTGTGACGAGTTGAAACTTCGCACAAATGCAGATGCTAACTGCGAAAAAAAGGCCGTGGGGCTAACTAACTTTTGGGTTAATGTTAGTGCGATCGGAAGATCGTACAGTCTTCCATAAAATAGTACGTCGCTTAAGGACTTTCTGGTTCTTGCAACAAATACACGTAGCGCGTCCGCTCTATACCTTTCGTTCAGTGATGGAGCTACAGTACTGTAGTATGTCATGATATTCTTGTTTATTAGTAGAACAGTTTTTTCTCTACCTCGTCATAGTATTGAAGCAGAGTCAAATTTCCTTGGTGGAGTGTTAAAAAAATACATCAGTGAATATGGCCCGTTAGTTCAGGGGAATGTCAAATGATGAGAGGACTATATCAACTGGACCGGGGGCTTGATAATGCTTAGATCTACCGTCGTACTTTTCGTACTCCTTATAATATATGTACGTGTATGCAATTTGTGCCGCTTTTTGCCACGTTTTTGCTCTCGTTGCATATGACGTTAATCCTAATTTTGGCTTCTTTATATGTCTATACCTCAGGTGAGCCGGTATTTACGCAGCCTAAGTGTTCTTTAATATCTTGTAATTATACCCGTCACTCGTAGAGAAAAGGCAGAATAAAGCGTTTCCGACCATATAAAGTATATATATTCTTGATCAGGATCTGTCCGTCCATCTGTCTGTCCGTCCGTATGAACCTCGCGATCTCGGAAACTATAAAAGCTAGAAAGTTGAGATTAGGCATGCAGATTTCAGCAAGTTTGTTAAATGATGTTGCCATGCCCACTGTATCGTCCACAAACGATGGACGCCGGCAATTGATCCTGAGCAAGAATATATTTACCTTATCCCTCTAGTTCACTGATGAAATTAATAAATGTTCAAATAAGAATTATATTTTGCCCGTCTCGGCTACTCGTAGGTTCAGGTCGCTGCTAACTATATATTAGTGTCTCGGCTATACGTAGCTACACTACCCGCACCTCTCGTACCGCGGCTCTCGTATAGTCATCACTATTAACCAGAAAAATGCCAAAACCGTCGATCATATGCTTTGGGGTGGTCTGAATATTTGATGAGAAATACTTAAAAATATTATATAAACTGGTTATGGGTCTTGTATACGTATTGTATACGTAAAAACAGCTAGTTTAAGCTCAAAGATATGGAGCCGTCGGAATAAAGCCACAACAACATTAAGTCATAGTCACCTTCAGACCAAGGCTACCCAAATTTTGAATCTATGCATGGCAAAATCTTAGCGCATATAAAGTAGTCATGAATATTTCCTCACCCCTGCCTGAGATCATCAAAAAATAATGTATTTTAGATTATCTGTAATCTGTCCCAATTTTCATAATGTAATAGACCCCATAAAATAAAATATTTATGCCTCTTATATTATTATAGAATAAGTCAAGCGGCTATTAACCTGCATCCAAAACCAATACTAGTCCTCCTTTTCTGACGTTTTCCTTTACGACTGCAGACTGTGAAGGCTCTTTAAATTCGAGAACGAATCAGGTGGATTTTAAGAGCAGACTAAGAGTAGTGCCTAATTATAATGATATATTGATGAAAGGAAGGAAACTACTGAAAAAACATTCGACAATTTAGAAAACCAACGTACAACATCAGCTAATGCTTTCAAACGTATGAGGATAGAAGAGGGTAAGGAGTGTTCCCCGAATAAAAAAACAAAAATTACTGCAAGTGTAAATAATCTAAGAAAGGAACTTATTTGTTCTATCTGCGGATCTTTGAATCAGGTAATCGTCAACATACAAGCATTTTCTGGAATATAGATACAAATTGCGAATAAAATTAAAAAATTAAAAAAAAATTTTAAAATTTGTGGGCTGTAAAATGAGCATGGTAAAAATATATTTGGCAAATAGAAATTTACAAGACTAATAAAAGTAATTATGAAATTTCTCGTTCGCACTTCCACTAGCTGAGTAACGGATAACTCATAGTCGGGGAAACCGACTATAGCAATCTATCTTGTTTTCTTCTGCATACAATGAATGTCATGGGTTTACTTCACTTTTTCGTTTTGTTGGCCGATTCTGTTGTTCGGCAATCCGATGCTTTCTTGTTTTGCATCGATCTATCCATAAAAATGATAAAGGTACTATAAAAGTTTTTTTTTTTGTATTTTTTAGGCTATGCGCCGCCTTGGAACAATAGTGTGCAGATTTTTTTTCTTAGACGCGCGCACCAAAGCAATTGATGTACACCCGACGGATACGGCTGGTGACGCTGTGCTGAAGTTGGCTGAAAAACTCAACTTAACTACTACTGATGGATGGGCAATTTATCAGAATCGTCCAGACGGTGAAGAACACATAAAAAGTTATGACTATTTGTATGATATAATTTCAGCATGGGAAATGAAACAAGCAACACATGCAAGTACAAAAAAAACAGTAAATGGCTCTTCGTCAGGTGAAAATCGATTTGTTTTTAAGAAAAGGCTTTTTAAATCAACTCATGAACTATCACAAGATCCTGTCGAAGTTAGCATGTTATATTCACAAGCAGTTCACAGCGTTGTGAAGGTAAGTAATATGTACTATTATTATAATATAATAGGTTGGAAAATATCTCCCTTCCGCTTTTTTGCTCTTTATTCAATGCCTTATAAAAAGTGTTACAGTGATCGGATTTAGTTCAAATATGCGCCGTTTTGTTCGATAATCTGTTTTCATCTAGATGGCAACTTCATAATACCTCCCTCGTAGAAGCCCCCCTCCTTATTTGCGAAGAACTCGGACAGCCACTTTTCACAAGCCTCTTTTGAGTTCAACTTTACACCACCAAGGGCATTCGCCATGGACAGGAACAGGTGGTAATCACTTGGCGCTATGTCCGGGCTATATGGTGGATGCGATAAAACCTCCCATCCGAGCTCTTGTAGCTTCTGACGAGTCATCAACGAAGTGTGTGGTCTGGCGTTGTCCTGGTGGAACACTACACCCTTCCTGTTGGCCAATTCTGGACACTTCTGGTCGATCGCCTGCTTCAAGCGGTCCAGTTGTTCGCAGTAGATGGTAGAATTAAGCGTCTGGCCATATGGGAGCAGCTCATAGTGGATGATTCCCTTCCAATCCCACCAAACACACAGCAAAACCTTCCTGGCCGTCAATCCCGGCAATCCAACCTTATATTTATATGCTTAATCTCAATTTTCTAGATTTAAAAGTTTTCGAGATCATAGCGCCTAAACATCGTAGGAACAGTCGATTCTGCTTAGAATATATCTACCTTTCTACCTTTTAAATAATTTTCAATAAATCTAATATTACTTTTTATAACTGGATTTTATGACCTCTTTGTCCTTTTGTACATAGTGCGTTCTATAGTAAACAGGACTTAAAAAAAAAAACAGAACAAATGGGTTTATCACCTTCCATTGAGAACTCTGACGTTTCATTTCGGGATCATATTGAAAACACCATGTTTCGTCACCAGTCACCAGTCTATGGAATTTTCGGTGATCACGGATTTTGGTAGGCCCACATGTTCATCGTCATTTATGTCCTCACGACCACATTGAAACTCTTCTCCGCCATAAACTTGTTTCATCAATTGAAACGTTTCGTTAAACGTTTTACCAATTTTAAAACAAAATTTGTTGTTGGCTCTTTGTTCGAAGTTTATTTTCGCACCGATGACAAAAACATACTGACACTTAAATCGCAATTTCTTCAGTTACAATAGATTAAATGTCAGATAGAATGTTACAATATATGGCAGATTCTAAGGCACAACAAGTCCTGTTTACTTTGGAACGCACCTTGTATGTTTGACTGTCTGTCGTTCTGTGTAAAGTTGTATTGTTGATATGCAAAACAAAATTTTTTCCGAGATTGCTCACCAGCGCAACTTGGGCGGTTAATATATGTAACTATAATTATTTAAATAAAATTATGCATGTTATATATATAATTATAACATGGTGGCGTTAAAGTGGGATATCGAGAGACCGAGTGGGAGGGTCCAAAATGCTTTTTACATATTAATTGAAATCGGTGAGACAAATCACAAAATAAAAGCGTAACAGTTTTGGGTAGTTTGTGGCGTAAGAGTTTGTGTGCGCAAATGTGACGTTTCTAGAATATACAAGCTTAATATTAATCTTCTAATTGTCATTTTTTAAAATATGGACAGTTTGGTTTAGCGGTAAAGCAGGTAGACAAACATTTACCTGTGTGTACGCTTCCAGGTGCGGATCACCTTTTTGACTCCACATTCCACGTGCGGTTCATCTAACGGACTCTGCACTCCACGTGCGCATCACATCGCAGATTCTTCATTCCACGTAGGGATCACTTCATATTTTAAAGTTAGAAATTATTACTGTGTAGATATTAATAAGAGATAAGCGAAAGATATTAGAGTTGTTTTGTAGGGTATATAAGTTAACAAGTAACAGCAATGAGAGCTGTGCGTACCGAGGAACGACACACGAAGGTTTACTTCGGATGCTGGTTGGCAGCCGTGATCTGTGCAAGATAGGGTAATCTTAACTTCTCTCTTCTTATATTAATCACTTCTAAAGTGACAGCCGAAGAATAAAGGCCCATCATCGTAATCGAGTCTTTTATTTAAAATAACCGCTGTGTATATCAAGTCGGAGCTACGACCCTGCTACCGGCTTATTCCAGTTGGACACCTGAGCTATAGTCACCGATCGTGGCCACCACCTGGTCTCGATCCGCGCTCTGTACCACACCATAGCTACAGAGGTGATATCGAGGTGACTGTGTTGTGGGCAGCAACGTGCCGCTACACCCATGTAGCAATCCCGTGAGCAGCGTCGTGCCACGGGGACACCCCCTGCAGCATTTGGCGCAGGTGGAGGCCACATCATTTTTAAATCATATCTGGAGCCCAATCAAGTCGGCGACCCTGACAAGATCACATAATCTGGAAGGCACGAGCTAAATAAAACCCATTTGAATTGGCAAGCAAGGACGGACTGTCCTGGGCAGAAGAGGAGAGAGTTGGAGGAAGTCACGAATAAGTTTACCGGTTACTTAATATCGACAATATCTGCTCCTGAGATTGCAGTGTACTTGCCTGTTGCTATAACCGGCAATGTGAGTTGTGATGAAGGCCTCAATGCGGTGAAATCATTGCCAGAGTTTTAGGGGTCTCAGGGAAAATACGTTTCTTGGCGACAGGCAGCAGCAGCTGTATATGAATTATTCAGCGAGTATAGCGGTAGTTATAGACATTACCAGGCTGTTCTCATAATCCGTAACAAAGTTAGGGGATTTGCTGTCATTAAATACAATCCCTAATTTTGACGCCATTATTAGACGCCTTGACTCTACCTATTCCGATAAACGTTCATTACACTTGCTCGAGCAAGAGCTTACAACACTCAGGCAGGGGCAGATGTCTATTTTAAGAGGAGGTTGAGAAGAAGCCCTCACTCCTTACAAACAAGACAACTTGACATATGAGACGAATCATGCCCGATATATGAATGATAACCCCTGGCTGATGTCCTGCGTATTTTTATTTCTGGGCTAAAGATAAACTTAACTGATGTTAACTTAACCTGCTCCATGTTAACTCAACCTGCAGACTAGCCTTCAGCTCTAGCAAGGGCTCAGGAAATAGAGGCAAACCACGAGAGGCACGCCTTTGCGACACAATATGCCAGATCCATAGAAGATAAATATCTCAGACTGGCCCAAAATCGTCCATTACAAAGGACATTAGAATCCAACCATGAAAATACGTTTAAAAAGGGGTTAAAAATCGGTTTTTTACGAGGTTTCGTCAGCTGACAAACTTCCAGCGCCCTCAGGGATCTTCCATGCCATAGGCGCTTTATGCACAGCAGCAGAGTGCACAAAATAGACCGACTAGCTCTAAAAAAATGTCTGATTTCAAGCGTCAAAGAGTTAACCATCTGTTCGAAGAAGATCGGAATGATCAAAATGAGGATCATTATAATCAGATTGCTAACGAAGCGGTAGATGACATAGACGGTGACGAGGAAACAGACTATGAAAGCGATTCCGTACATTTTTTAGGGGTTCATCCCTGCTTGCGTTCGTCCAGCGAAAAGTAGCGGGGGAGCAACGAAAATTTATAGTGGATACGGGGGCCTATATCAAGAAAGAGATAGGATTGCCGACTTCAGTTTCCGTCGACTCACCCTTGGTTGTTAAGTCACTTCATCGCTTTGAAAAAATAGAACGCAAATGTGAGCTTGATCTGTTTGGTGTAGAAAGCCATTTCTTCTTATTACCTGGACTTAAAACATTTGACGGCATAATTGACCTCGACCTTTTAGCGCAAGTAGTTGCGACAATTGACGTCAAGGGCAATTCTATCAAGTTTAATGGAGGACGTGAAGATCTACCATAAATGCGCTCAAGTTAACTTCACGGAGATGAAGAAGATGAAGCCCCCAAAAGTTCAAGAAGATTTTCAACAGATGATATGTAAAAACTCGAGGCCTTTGATGACCCCAATGAAAAGTTACCATTCAACACAAATGGCGTAGCGACCATTCGGACAGAGGAAAATGAGCCAGTTTATTCAAAATAATACCCGATTTCGTGAATCGAAATGGCATTATTCGGCCATCCAAGTCTCCCTACAATAACACCATATGGGTTGTAGGAAAAAAAAGGTACCGACGCTGCGGGATCGCCCAATAAACGCTTCAGTCGATTTCAGGAAGCTACATTTAAAAACAATTTCCGAAAGATACCCGATGCCGAGTATAAATATGATACTGTCGAATTTCGGGAGGGCAAAGTTTTCCACCACATTCGGCCTTAAGTCCGGATATCACCAGATTGAACATGAAGAATTGGACCGCGAAAAGACATAATATTCAGTCAACGGAGGCAAATATGAGTTCTGCCGCCTACCGTTCGGGCTGAAGAATGCCTTAAGCATCTTTCAGAGGGCCATAGATGATGTACTACAGGATAAGATAGGAAGAATCTGTTACGTTTATGTGAATGACGTTATTGTTTTTTCAGAAAATGAAGGATCCCACATTGTTCATATCGGACAGGATTTAGAGAGCCCCAATAAGGCCAACATGCGAGTGTCTAGGCAAAAGTCAAATTTTTTTAAAGAGTGTTGACTTTCTTGGTTTTGTTGTCACAAAGGAGGGTATTAAGACAAGACAAGACAAGGTCACGGCCATCAAGGATCTGAGATCGTTTCGAGTTTGGCAAGTTACTATAAATAAATGCTTCATTAAGGATTTCGCATGAATAGCAAGACCTTTGACGAATATTCTGAAAGTTTAAGGTGGCAGGGTCAGCAGATGCCGTTCAAAAGGCATTCCGGTGAGCTTTGATAAGTCTCAGCTTAGAGCAATTGACAAGCTTAGAAGTATCCTTGCATCAGAGGGCGTTATTCTTCATTATCCTGATTTTACTCGACCATTTTATTTGACGACTGATGCGTCATCCTTTGGCATAGGTGTAGTATTGTCTTAGGGAAACCAGCCTATAACATGATATCCCGAACGCTAAAAGAAAGAGAATTAAATTATGCTACAAATGAAAGGGAATTATTGGCAATTAATATATTTGGGACTGTCTCCGACAATACCTCTATGGCAAAAATGACATAAACATATTTACGGTCTTACCACTTATACTTGCGGTCTCTGACAAGAACCCATTTTCAAAAATTAAGCGTTGCAAAGCCCGAATCGAAGAGAGCGGTGCATATGTCACGTCTGTCGCAACAAGATATTAGTGCTTTGCAGAGCTCAACAGAGTCAGATCGAGCCACTATTCACAGTGAAAAATCCTCAACATTTGTCATTTAGGCCACGGAAAACCCATTACACTGTTTTCAGAATCAAATCGTATTGGAGGAGGCATCCCTGCCGAATAAAGAACTATTTATAGTGTTTTATACTAAGATACGTCATCAAATTGATTTTACTGATTGGGAGACATTGCTGGACTTATTGAAAGACGTAGTAGCGCCAAACGTAGAGAATTCCATACACTGTGAGCTTCCAGTCCTGGCCCGTATTCAAGATAGTCTGGTTCGGCTCTTCTGACCACGTCTTGGTTTTGTAAGTCTTGGGTGGCGGACGTCAAGCCTGATGAACAAAAAGAAAGTTTAGTTATTGAATATAACAGAGCTCATAGGGCTGCTTAAGAGTTAAGCAAGTGCTACTTGACTATTATTTTCCAAAAATGGGTAAAATTGCAGACGAAATCGTTTTAAACTGCAGGGTTTGCCAAAAGGCAAAGTAAATCAGGCATCCAGTAATACAGGAATTAGTTATAACCCAAATACCAACGCAGGTTGGAGAGATTTTACATATAGACATCTGCTCAAGAAGGGGAAGTTTTTCCTCATGGCTGTTGATAAATTTAGCAAGTTTGCGGTGGTTCAGCCAATTGCAACACGTTCAATATTGGATGTTAAGGTCCCAATCCTTCAGCTGGTCAACCTTTTTCCTAATGTTAAATCGATATATTGCGATAACGAGGCATCGCTTAAGTCCGAAACAATACGATATTGTGAAAAGGTTCCACAGTACTCTTACAGATATTGCCGGGTGTCTTAAATTGGAATTATTATTATTATTCCTTCAGGCGACTATAGAGTATAACAGGTCATTTCACTCTGTCACGAATAGGAAACCTGTCGAGATCATCCATGCTAGTGCCGAATTTGCGCCGGATATAATCATGAGCCTAAAAAAGGCACAGCAGGAACAGTTAGATCCGAATAATCCGACTAGGGAGAATATAGTATTTGAGAGTGGTGAGAAGGTGTTAGTTAAAACTAAGAAGAGACTGGGGGATAAACTTACGCTTCGAGCGTAAGGGTCGTCGAGAATATGGTCGATGCTGATAATATAAGTAATATAAGGACAACGGTCCTAATTCAAGGGAGGGTGGTCCACAAGGACAATATTCGGTAAGACCACCTACAAGATTGTTTTATAGGCTAATAAGTTGTGGTAGATACTCTGCGTGTTACCCAAAAATTTAGGCTCGTATAAATGCTCACGCAACCAAGGTCAGTAAAATGGCCTTCTGTACCACACCACAGCTAGAGAGCTACAGAGGCGACATCAAGGTGACTGTGTTGTGGGCAGCAACGTGTCGCAACACCCATGCAGCAGTCCCGTGAGCAGCGATGTGTCACGGGGACACCTCCTGCAGCGAATTAGGAGTGGAGGATCTTGTGCGCTACTACCTTGTCGCATCCATCTTTAAATCATAGATATCTTAGATACATGTAGCGAACATTAAAATGTGAATTTTAATAAAGAATATATATTAGAATATAATAGAATATATTGGAATAAAATATTGAAATGTTAACAGAAGATACTCATCGGTTGATTATTAAATAGAGATGACAACCGTGAAGAATACCATGATTGATTAAATTTAAAGGAACGGTTTTCACAAAACGGTTTCAATGAGGCGTGGTATAGAAGAGAAGAAACGACTATCTAAATCTTCCATTGCTCGCTGAACAATCTATTTTATCCTAACTGCATCTAAAACGTCCCCTTCCGCTCCTCATATTGCTTATGTCTACATATTAATGATTTGAGAACTGCAATTTGAGAGTCAAATATCCCAGCCCTGAACATAGTCATTTACTCACATTTAGCTTGAACACATTAAATTCATCAGATGATTTAATTTATTAAATAAATACACAATTAGAAACAGTTAAAACATAAATCCACTATATGTAACATTACATAAGCACATGCACTTTAACCATTGTTACTTTTCGAGTGTATAGTCTTAGTATATTATATTACGAAAAGATTGTTTGAGTTTCTTTGTTATACCCGTTACTCGTATACTAAAAGGGTGTACAAATTCGTTGAAAAGTATGTAACAGGTAGAAGGAAGCGTTTCCGACTATATAAAGTACATCTATTTTTGATCAGGATCAATAGTTGAGTCGATCTGACCATGTCCGTCTGTCTGTCCGTCCGAATGAACGTCGAGATCTCAGGAGCATAGACGCAGCGCATGTCTGTTAAATTATGTTCTCACGTCCACAAACCGCCCAAAACTGCCACGCCCACAGTTTTGAAAAATGTTTTGACATTTTTCCCTTTTTTTATTAGTCTTACAAGTCCACTCCACCGCACACTCTTTTGCAATTTTTACCGATATTCCGATAGAAAATTATGAAATTTCTCGTTTAAACTTCCACTAGCTAAGGAAGACGTATCTGATAGTCGGGGAACTCGACTCTAGCATTCTCTCTTTTTTTATTTTTTGGTTATCTCCATCTTTATCGCACTTATACACACTAAGTTGAGCATTTGATCCAATTCTTATTTATATTTGCAACTGAAGAGTTACCAGAATTTATTTTGAATTACTTTCGCAGAAAGACGAATTTCCGGTCAGTGAAAAGGTGGCACTTCAACTAGCAGGACTTCAAGCTCAAGTAGCTTTAGGAGATCCATCCAATCAGCCAAAACCAGAATATTACTCAGATATAAACAGCTTTTTGCCAATAAGAATTTCAAAAACAAGAGAACAACAATTTTGGATACCAATTTTAGCCCAAGCCCACCGACAATACGGATCCTCAAGAAATGAATTGACAGCTAAAGTATTGTACCTAAGCTGCGTAATGCAATACCCACTGTATGGCACAACAATGTTTAAAGTTAATTACAAGGGGTATTGGAATTTGGCAAGCAATATTATTCTTGGAATACATTGTGATGGACTAAAGTTTATTAATCTTGAAGATAAGTCTGTTATGTACCAATTCAAATACGTGGATATAGAATCCATTTTGTTGGATCCAAGTGACAGTTTTATAACTATATCACTTAATCGAAGCGCACAACTATCTAAAAGCACTCGTGATGGAAGTTCTATTATAGAGTCACAGAAATGTTTCGTATTTGAGACACCGCAAAAAAATGATATAGGATCTTTGATCATTTCGTATTACCCTCCGCTGTCTAACTGGATCTTAAATAATTTGGAGTGTTCAAAAAAATATAAAGGAACCACTCAAGAAGACAGATTGAGACTTCATCAAAATGTTGTTCTGTGTAGACGACAGTTGGTTGATATGAATATAGTCAAAAAACCGCACGATTTAGGTTTTCTAAGAAACACCCTAAGACGTCTGTCAAAGCATCGATTAGAAAAATTACGAACGGAGCAGGGGTCTAACATGCAAGACCATGGCGAAATTTACAAAGGATTTTCGCACACATTTTGGGCATTTAGTAAACAACAAATTCCGTTTTGTCTAAGTACATTATCTGACCAAGAAGAAACCGTAATGGTGCAAGTATTTCATTCAATATTAACATTTTCTGGGCTTGGAACATCAGGTAAGTGTTCAAAAACTATCATTCATTTATGACAGCTATAAAAGTCAGAGCTTGAGATCCTCATGTGCACATCGTGTTCTATTTAATGAGATACATATATATTTAATACTTATCTACATATGTATTTATATGTATATGTACTGTGTGTTTGTATAACATTTAGTACATTTCTGCTTCGAGGAAAACTGGCTCTTCTAGGTTGTTTAATAAATACCTAACTAAACGACGTTATAAATTATTATTATTAATTTTAACCAAATTATACATTTTTCGTTCCATTGTCGTTCCGTGTTGACACCATGCACCAGAAGCTTACTTATAATAGGATATTTAAATTATTATAAATCTATTGTTTAATTACTTCTTTGTTTAAACCAATGGATGTATTGATCCTTATCAAGTTTCTACAAATTAACAAATCCTACATCAAAAATATTCAACAAGTTCCAGATTCGTTGAAAAGTATGTAACAAGCAAAAGGAAACGTTTCAGTCCATATAAAGTATATATATTCTTGATCAGGATCAATAGCCGAGTCGATCTGCCATGTCCGTCCGTCCGTCAGTCCGCATGCACGCCTCGATCTCAGGAACTACAAAAGCTAGAATGTTGAGATTAAGCATGCAGCTTCCAGAGACTTAGACGCAGCGCAAGTTTATTTCCACCGCACAAAACCGTCACGGCCACACTTTTGAAAAATGTTGTGATGTTTTTTCATTTTTGAATATATCTTGTAAATTTCTATAGATCTGCCAAAAAACTTTTTGCCATGCCCACTCCAACGCCCACGAGCCGCCCACAAACTGCCACGCCCACACTTTTGAAAACTGTGATATTTTTTCACTCTTTTATATATCTATAGATTTGCCAAAATAATTTCATTTTATTATTTTCTTTCCCAATTTTAACCGATATTTCAGAAAATTTTGAAATTTCTGTTTCGCACTTTCACTTAATAACGGGTATCTGATAGTCGGGAAACTTGACTATAGCATTTTATCTTGTTAAACTTAAGCTTAGGGTCGAACGGTAACGATGTGAACTTTAGACAAGCACAAAGAAGACACACCGTGAACTAATGGGACATTTGTGGACCTTGGACCCGAGCGGGCAATGCGCAAAAAGCAATATAACGGGAACGCCCATAACGGCTTATAAAGGATGACGCAAGCGCAGCTCGAGGCCAATCAGCTAAACACTCGTAAGTCATACGTGCCAAAGGATAGTCGGGCAGAGTACGGGCGCGAGTCACGCAGTCCGAACGCGGACAGACAGTCAACAAGAAGCGGGGCAGTGAACAAGAAACCCGTCAGTGAAAACGCGCACCTGTCGGCAACAAACCGGAGAGAGAACGCGTAAGACACAACAAGGAACCAGTCGGTGCGAGATCAGTCCGTGTGTGTCAGAAGTGGACATCCAAGGACAATCACTATGAGTGAGGATAGTGAAGGCGGAGAAGACAGGGCTTGGTTTAAAGGTATTGTGGAGTCAGTGGTTGGTGTATTGCGGCAGCGGTCCTAGCGTTTCCGGGTGTTTGCAAAGGTTGTTCTGGGAACAGCTCTGTTTCGACCTAACGGTCGTCACATCTTGCGGCCACCATAATATCCTTAGACCGGTTGAGCCGGCACGGAATCCGTTTTCGAAGACGACGCAGGACGACGACGGATCGACGACGCGCAGCAGACGGCGAGGACCATCGGAGTCCCTATAAAGTATACCTTGAATAAAGCTGACGTTAATCTGAAACCCTGTCTTCTCCTTGGTCGGGCAATCACACAAATCATAAATTTGGTCAAACAAGCAAACTCTCTGAGCTAGCCGTTGCAACTTGTAGCGAGCAGAACAAAGAAAAACAGTTCGTTACAAATGTTTCGGTTTAAAACATCATTTGCATAGAGCAGCCCAGTTATCGAACGCCGATTCTCTAAGAGGATAATACCATAACAGGTATGGACGAGATATGATGAACGGGGATTAGAGAAATGTAGGGACTGTTCTGCAAATTTCATAAATCAAGACCATTGATATACACAATGGTAGATGAGCTTCAAGCAATGGAAGCAAACCACCCTAGAACGGACGTATGCCGAGGACGAATCCCCAAACTTCATTGTATTTTACCTAACGATTCAAACATTGCATACCCCTTTGGGAGAATACAATTCAAGTAACTGGAAAACTGGAATTCTATCAGAAAGGACTGCAAGGTCCAAAATCAAATTCTAAAAAAACAGGGGTTCCCTATTTGTGGAGTATCAAGAAGTTTTTGACAAGAATTTGCCTTATGCAACCACATGACATTTATTTATATTTAATAACAGATTATTCTTAGTGCACAAATTGCTAATTCTGTCGAAATCAGCGAGAAGAATGAAACCGTCACTAATAGAGCTAATTGTTATTAATTATTAAAATTGAGATCGTCGCCTACAGAAGTTAATTAGGAAATTGTATGCACGAACAAATAACAATGACAAAAATAATGAAAAGTAACGATAATGACATTGAGAAAGTTTAGAAGTTGCTCCATGCTGGTCCAGTTACCACATTTGATGTAATCCATAAATAATAATACAGACGTGACGACAAACCTTGTCGAAGGCTTTAGCAAAATTCGAATCAACCAGAGAATAGGCCTCAAAGGCTTGCATGCAGTGTTTCGAGAATATAGCAGGTTAACCCCATGCTAGTCGATATAAGTCAGAATCAGGAAGAATAATTTTTTACAAAGTAATTTCGAGATAATTGGAAAGAAATGGTAAGATATTATTACCAATATTCCATCTAGAAATAATCAATCCTCGTCTTCTAAGGTGACGTTAATGCGGGAAATTATGCATATGGTCATGATAAAGAGCAGATAAAGCCAGCGCCTTAAGCCGCTTAAGAACCCTTTGATGTATTTTTGACATTTTAACATGGGATTCTTTAATCAAAACTCAACTTCTCAGTCAAATTTCTTGTATGATCACATCTCGGTTTTGAGGTTTTTATAATGTGCCATAGATTCCCCAAAGTCCCCAAAGTGCAGTCCCCAAATTTGAGCATCCGGCTGATAGTTTGATTACCTATAAATGTTTGATCTTCTGTGTTAGGTTTTGCTTTACATGTAAGTTTGTTATATATATTTGTCTATATATGTTTATAATGTTTATATATGTGTGCATCTATGTACTGTTTTTATCTGTATGGAGGAACTGGTGTGGAGGAACGTGACATAGGATTATGGTTTATGGTATTGTCACACGGACAATCGATAAACTTTGCCCGCCGTCATGGGCCATGGGCCGTCTTTTACTATAAATTTTTTGGAATATTATTAAAATAACTAAAATATTTACAATAATAAGCTTTCAATAGTAATTCTAGTAATAGTTATAATTTTTAGTGCGCGATCGAACGCAAATTGAGGATACCTTTGACTCCTGTGTGGCGTGTCAGGAGCTCCTCGTACATGAGATGCTTTTTGATGGGAACGTCTTTAAAGGGAGCGTCTCCCAATGGCCAATAAAATGTAGGGACTCCATTGTGGGCAAGAACCAAACTTCTTGTGTTGTCGTGTATTGCCCGTTACGGACAATAATCCTTAAAATATAGAAAAGGAAAGCATGAGTTGTTAGCTTGGAAGATGTATGTTGTAGGTCGCTTTCAATGCGAAGCAATCAGAAATTGAAACGTATACAAAAAGAATACAGAGCTTGATAAGGAGGATTGAAACTGCCAACAGAAATCACCACAGAGTAGGTCGTAAGGTGCTGCCTCTCCAAACTACTTGGTAAATTATCGAAGAGGAGCAGCAGTTGTCCGCAACGGTGCCGATTGGTGGAAACACATACAAGGTGAAAATCGACATCGGATCAACGACAAGCTTCGTGAGCTAATAACTGGCGGAAAAGCTGGCTGCTCGGAGAACGATAAAAAGGACATGACGGTAGATGATAGGTGCAGGCGGATCAGTGAGGTAGAAGTCGAATTCGGCAACAGACGACTCTCCTTGAGCCGCCTGATACTCCAAATGGTAGTGGATGAGTTGGTGTTGGGATGGAACCTACTTTCGAATTTTGGCCGAAGTCAGATGCAACGGACTCGAAATCGGTGCAGCAAGACGACGAGGAAGGGGACGTGAAAAAAAAACCTGGAAGCAGAGCTCGCAGAATTTCGTGTTATGGTTGGAACATCAAATTGTAGCCAAGCACACGAAAACCATGATTACCTCTATTTTGGGTTGTTTTGGACCAAATAGAAATAATACCATCTAGTTTGAAAGTAATGTAAAGAGAAAAGAGTAAAAATAAATTTAAATGATAATCAAGACAGCTTACAGACCCAGTGTTCACACTATAAACTAATGCGTACACTTAATGAGTTCAATTCGGGTGTTTGAATCTAACTGACTCGCTACTGCGAGGGCATCGCCTTTTATTCATTCTTACATAGGTTCTTATCATCTAATTATATAATGCAGCGCTTGTAAGACGCTGCAGTCTGCGTTGGTCAATGCAGCTGAGGTTTATCTCAAATCTATGTTTGAAGCCTATGACCGCGCTAGTCACCTCCCGCGTGATCATATCTCTTGACACTTCGGCAATAGACCACTGCAACCGTACTTATCTGTAGTTGCCACTTATGCTGTCCCGTGACATGTTTATTGCAGCCCTTAAATAGAACATATTTATAGATTGTCTACTTATCATGTCTAAACACATGTTTAGACATTCTCCGGGGGGGAAAAATGTACGGCCAGTAGTCGTCTATCATTTATGCGTTCCAGCTCCAGCTGGTTTTGCTTCGCGAACAGGAAGTTGACAGATGTTGTTTAGCGATCTTTTTACTTCCCCATCGCTTGTTTTAACCGTGACTACCCGGACTTTATCATCTTGTCCTTTAGTCGTACTAATGATTCTTCTCATTGGCCATCTTGCAGGGTGAGTGTTCTCATGTTTTATAAGAACCAGCTGTGCCTCCTTCAGATTTGGCTTTTCTTGGCGCCATTTGGTTCG